CACACACACCACACACACACACACACACACACACACACACATGTATACATATGAGATCCAGCCTCCACCAATCAGCATCAAGTTCCTCCACGCATCGAGGCGGAGATGAATCACTTATCGAACACCAGCTCGAGATGCATATTGGCACAAAGTTTAAGATTGCACGCAGGATTTAAGAGGGACGGACCGGAGGAAAAGGAATTCCCGCGATTTCGAATTCGCCGTTTCTTCCCGTGAAAGAGAGAGAGAGAGAATGAATGAGTGAATGAAGGAGGGAGAGAGAGATAGAGAAGGAATGGGCGATAGATAGATAGATACACATGTGTATGTATATATATATGCATATATATACATATATACATTCATGTATGTATGTATATATATATATATATATATATATGCATATATATATACATATATACATTCATGTATGTATGTATACATATATACATATATATATATATATATATATATATATATATATATATATATATATATATATATATATAATAAACTTTGCACACTATTTTCTGTCTTTTGAAAAGCTTCTCAGAGCTTTAAGCAAACACAGTACCAATAGAGCACCAGAATCTTTGCACCATGTAAAATCATCTATAAAAAACCTTGCTTTTTCATCCTACTACTCATGTGGCCAACAGAATTTCACATCAAGCATATCTAAAGATGACTTACTGTTGTTAAATGACCTGAGTAAGAATAAGGACATAATTGTAACCAGACCTGATAAGGGGCAAGGTATGGTTATCTTAAATAAGAGTGATTACATTGAAAAGATGAAAAACATCCTAAGTGATAAAACAAAATTCATTCAAATTGAAGATGACTGCACCTCTCTCATTATCAAAAAAGAAGATCAACTCAATAACATGTTAAGGAAACTCAAAGATAGTCAGTCAATTGATAAAGATACATATTCACGGTTGTTCACTTCTGGATCAAAACCAGGCGTCCTGTATGGGCTTCCAAAAGTTCATAAAACCGGCTGCCCTCTTAGACCAATACTTTCAGCTATTGGCACTTTAAACTATAATATCTCAAAGTATTTTGTTCCCATTCTTAAAACACTGACTATCAATGAATTCACAATACATGATACTTTCTCATTTGTAAAAACAATATTAGATATTCCCAATGCTGACAGTTATATAATGGCAAGTTTTGATGTTACCAATCTATTCACAAATGTCCCTCTTTCTGAAACAATTGAAATCATCACTGACTCTCTGTTCAACCACAACACTCACATAAATGGCTTGAATAAGGTACAATTTAAGAAATTGCTTGAAATTGCCACTAAAGATATAACATTCTTATTTGATGGCAAATCATATAAACAGATTGATGGAGTGGCTATGGGTAGCCCCTTAGGTCCAACTCTTGCAATATATTTATGTGTTTTCATGAAAAGATATGGCTCACAAACTGCCCCCCTGACTTTAGACGCTTGCATTATTATAGATATGTTGATGATACATTTCTTTTGTTCAAATCACAACTTGAAGCTCAGAAATTCCTGCAATATTTGAATGGTCTGCACAAGAATATCAAATTTACTTGTGAGTTGCAGTCCAATGGTAAACTTCCTTTCTTGGATGTCAGTATAAGCAGAGATAACAATAGGTTCTCGACTGCAGCATACAGGAAACCTACATACACAGGCCTCACCACAAAGTTTGATTCCTTTATTCCAATCAAGTACAAAACTAATTTAATCAATACCCTCATCAATAGAGCATACAAAATATCAAAGTCATATCAAATATTCACCAAGGAAATAGACTTTATCACTGGCATCCTAAGAAGGAATGGTTTTCCATTGTTTATCATTCAGAGGTCCATTAGACAAACCTTAAATAATATTTTTATAAAAAGAGAACCAGTACAACTTGCCATTAAAGATATAATCCACATAAAGCTTCTATTCATAGGCCCCATGAGTTATACGATTAGAAGAAAATTGCTAAACCTTATAAACTTACATTATTCAACTGTAGATCTAAGGATAATTTTCACGGCCACAAACACCATTGGCCACTTCTTCAAAGTAAAGGACAAACTTCCCAGCCTATTATGTTCATCTGTCGTGTATAAATTCACGTGCAGCAGCTGCAATGCTGCTTACATTGGAAAGACTTCCAGGAATCTTTTCATTCGTGCAGATGAACATAAAGGTGTTTCATATAGAACGGGAAGACCACTAGGGAAACCCATGGATTCCCCAGTGCGTGAACATTGTCAACAATATAACCATAGCTTGTCAAGACATGATTTCAAAATAATAGACTCATCATCCTTTGCTTCTGACCTCTCCATATTAGAAAGTTTGTGGATATGGAAAGGACGACCGAAGCTTAATGAATATTTAGCCTCCACCGACATTGAATTGCTCCGCTCATAATTACAATAGTTGACCCTGTATTAAACACTCTTACATTTTCTATACATCCCGTTGTTCCAATAATACCACCATATGTAAACAGGAAATGACAGATGACAGGTGTGTTCGCGTCATTCTCTGTATATTTGCACTTTTAATTTAATTATTTCTGATGATATTATTATATTATTTAATTTAAGAATTATTATATTGTTTCTAAACCTTCATAGTTATATGTCGTGTTAATTTTGCAGCTAATCATTGATAATGGGTGACGAACTTTACACCCGAAACGTCTGGAAATAAAGATGCTGTTCCCGATAAGCCTGGCTTATCTGTTCCTTATATATATATATATATATATATATATATATATATATATATATATATATGTGCATATATATACATATATACATTCATGTGTGTGTACGCACACACACACACGCACACATACACACACACACACACACACACACACACACACACACACACACACACACATACACACACACACACACACACACACACACACACACACACACACACACACACACACACACACACACGCACACACACACGCACACACACACACACACACACACACGCACACACACACACACACACACACGCACACACATATATATATGTATGGCTATTTCTGTCTCGTCCACACCCGGATCTTGAATCTCTCCGCACACTTGGAACGAAGCAGCTGCCTTGTATCTGAACAGCAAATATAAAATAAAATAAAATATTTCTTTTCTTTATTATCATTCCTTTATTATCATTTTAATTATCATACTCCTTTGCTGCCTTTCTTTCCCAAACCATTCTCTTCCAAACTACTTTTATCAGTTTGATTTCCATTCGTTATAGTTACCTGTTGCGTAAAAGGATGATAGTGATAATGGTAATGGTAAAGAAAATTACGATAATGATAATGATCATAATGATGATGATAATAATGATAATGATAAATGTAAATATAATAATGATAATGATCATAATGATAAGGATGATAATGATAATGATAATGATAAGGATGATAATGATAATGATAATGGTAAAGATAATAATGATAATGATTATAATGAAAATGATATGTTAATGATAATGATAATAATGATAATGATTATGAAGTATGGATGTAATAAAGGGAAAGCTGAGGACGAATAAAAAATATTTAGATAAAAGAGAATAAGAAACGTAGGATTTCCTTTTAACATATTCATCACCCAATTAGAAAATGGCGAATCAAAGCAAATGATGACAAATTTCTTTATTTTTTCTTAAAAAAAAAAAAAATCTTCCGGACCACTGTTTATACCAATTAAGGATAAAAATCATATCTAAGATGACTTTAGGCCTATACGGCCCGCGTCGTGTTATGCAAGCGAACTGAAATCCGTTTCCCTTCCAGAGACATTTCGAGGAATCTTAAAAAAGAAAGAAAGAAAAACTATTAAGTTAAAATTCTAATAAGCACGACCTCACTGAAAGCCAATCGTGAGTTAATGAGTAAGTTAATTAAAAAGAATTTTGAGATACAGTTGATGATAAGAAATACTCCTTTAGTCATACATACGGTGTGTGAGAGAGAGAGAGCGAATGAATGAGTGAGTGGAAGAGAGAGAGAGAGAGAGAGAGAGATAGAGAGAGAGAGCGAATGAATGAGTGAATGAAGGAGGGAGAGAGAGAGAGAGAGAGAGAGAGAGATAAAGAGAGAGAGAGAGAGAAAGAGAGAGAGAGAGAAAGAGAGAGAGAGAGAGAGAGAGAGAGAGAGAGCGAATGAATGAGTGAATGAAGGAAGGAGAGAGAGAGAGAGAGCAAATGAATGAGTGAATGAATCAAAGTCAAAATACTTTATTCCATATAAATTACAATGGTTATTCTTTACATAAATATATATATATTTACATTTGAGTGTTTAAGAGGTGTTCTTTTAATTTTGTTTTAAAATTACAGAAGCTGTTAATGTTTCTTATATTATCTGGTAGCATGTTCCATAATTTGGGTCCACGTATTTCCATCTGCCGTGCCCCTGTATAGGTATTTGATCTCTTGACAAAAAGAGAATTTACTTGACGCGTCTGGACACCTAATGTGTTCCCTACGGTTTGCAATGGCATTAACCAATTCGGATAGTTCCCATGAATGAGTTTGTAAATGAATACACATGTGTCATAGCTGCATTGAGATTGAATTTTTAACCATTTTAATTTTTTAATATGCGGGGTGATGTGATCAAATTTTCTGATATTACCTAGTGCTACTCTGGCAGCAAAATTTTGTATTTTTTGCACTTTTTGCATCTGGGTTTTGTTAGCCGAACCCCAAATGTTTGAACAATAGTTAATTATGCTTAGGGCTAGAGTTTGTACAACCATGATTCTAGTTTCAGTAGTGATCTGATTTCGTATATGATTTAGATATACCAGGGTACCCACAACTTTCCTGTGTATTTTGTCAACGTGTGGTTCAAATGTCATGAATCTGTCTAAGAGTACTCCTAGATTATTCACTGAAGTGCTCGGTTTGATAGAGCAGCCTTCAAATTCTATGATTGTGTCACTGGGAATTTTAGCTAAGTTCTGCCTACTACCTATGAATATACATTGAGTTTTGTGTGGATTTAGTTTAAGACCATTGGTGTCAAAGTATAGTTTAGCTTGTGCTAAAGTATCTTGCGCGTTTCTTATTAATGTATTTAAGTTGTTTACAGAGTCACTATGAAGAAACTGTGAATCATCAGCGTACTGCACAAGAAGGCAATTATGGGCTATTGCTGACAAATCATTTATGAAAATTGTAAATAAGATCGGACCTAAAATAGATCCTTGTGGAACACCAAAAGGTACTTCTTGTTTTGATGACATACAATTATTGATTCTTACCGATTGGGTCCTTGCATATAAATAACTTTTAAACCAAAAGGTATCAATTCTATGATTTACTAATTTGTTAAGGAGAATTTCATGGTTAACACTATCAAAAGCCTTAGAAAGGTCACATAATGTGAGCAGATTTACCTGATTTTTGTCTATGTTATTATAAATCTCATTAGTAATTTTCAGTAAAGCTGTTTCAGTTGATAATCTATTTCTAAAACCATGTTGTGTTTTAGATAATAAGTTATTGGCCTCCAGGAAATTCGTTAGTTGATTTGCTACTATTTTTTCAAGAATTTTGGATAATATAGGGAGTATAGTGATTGGGCGATAATTATTGACATCGTCTATATCCCCCGACTTGAAGATTGGTGTTACTATACCATGTTTCCAGAGCGATGGAAAGACACCAGTGACCAGAGAGGTGTTAATAATGACCGTCAAATAATGTACAATTGCGGGTAGACTATCTCTGATAAAGCGCAAAGCAATACCGTCTGCTCCTACAGCATTTGTTTCGCGAAGGTGTTTTATTACTAGGATGATTGCTTCTACGTCCACTGGTTGTGGTCTGAAAAAAATAGGTGTAATACTTGCCCGATCTGTGATATGTTGTAATGTAGAAGCAATTGTTTTCTCGTAAGTCAGTTTACCAATTTTTGAAAAGAAGTCATTAAAATGGTCTGTTGTTTGTGAGGGACTTGTGCAATCACTAGTGAGGTGATTCTTGTGAGGCACTAGTGTTTTAACAATTTTCCATGTTTTATCAGAGTTGTTCTTATATTCTGTGAATTTATTTCTGAAGTAATTTCTTTTTGCACATTGAATTAGTAATTTTACATTTTTCTTTTTTGCTTTGTAATCTACCTGAAAGACAGCCTCATTTCTATTACTTTTAAGAACTTGGTGGGCATTATTTCTATCAATAATGGCTCTCTTGATGTCGTCATTTATCCATGGAGCAGGGGGACGTCTGACGGTTCGTGTTATGTAAGGAGCCTGCGCATCAATGCTGCTTTTAATAACTTCCGTAAGGATAGCTACTTGGTTGTTTACATTATCTGTCAATGAAATATCTGATAGAGTCATTTCTTTAGACGAGATAAGATCGCAAAAAGATTGAGGGTCGTAGTGTTTGAAATCGCGAAAAGTTTTGATTACTGGTGGTCTCTTTGTTTTCGTAATATTTAACGTCATCGTGATAAGTTCATGGTCAGCAACATGGCACGGGATGACATCGAAGTGGAGAATGAGGTCTGATCTGTTAGTTATTATTAAATCTAACAGAGAAGAGGTGTTTTCAGTAATTCGTGTAGGTTTATCTATTATTTGTTCTAATTTATTTTTCTTTATCATCTTAGCTAACTTAGCATTAGATTTTGTTAGATCATCATTTAGGTCACCTAAGATGAAAAGTGGTTTCTTTTTTAAAGACATCTCTCTAAAAACCTTTTCAATATATTCAAAAGATTCCGAGGTAGCATGGGGGTGCCTATAGACAGCGCCAATAACAAAGGAAGGAAGCATGTCGCTTTGTACGGTAACCCAGACATCTTCTACGGCAGTATTGTTAACTGTTGTAGTAGATATCCTGCTTGACTTCAGGGTATCCCGTACATATATACATACTCCTCCTCCTCGCCCTGCATCACATCTATAAACTTTAAAATTTGGAATATTTATGAAGTTACTAACCATTTCCTGGTAGAGCCATGTTTCACTAATGCATAGTATGTCTATGTTTCTCTCCTCAACTAGCATTTTAATTTCTTCAAAATGTCCGAGGAGAGACTGAGCGTTTATATGTTCTATTTTTATGACACTGTGCGATCTAGTCACTGGTAACGCTGACGGCGTTGCCTTGTCAAACATTTTGATCGCGCTTGTACTTGTTTTTGTTTAAGAACACTTTAACATTGTCAGGAAAAGCATCAGAGTCTATAAATAACTCGGGTTTTATGTCCTTTCCCCGTACTGACACCGTGAAGCTGGTGTAG